TCTCAGTCAGAGCACATTCTGTCGGGGACTCCACCTGCCTCCCTTGGAGCTGGCAGCCTGGAGCTCTCTTTTTTTAAAGCCCTGCCTACCCCTGCCCCCCAGCCCACCCAGGCCCCATGGCTGAGCCTGCAACCCCAAGTTTTGAGATGCATGAATGCAATGAGTGAGCAGCCCTGGCTGGGGATGAGCTCAACTCTGGCATTAACAGGGATTGGCAGCTTCTCCTGTCTCTGCCACTGAAGAAGGTGATCCTGTGCTAGCTAATGCCGAGGGGCTGCCTGCAAGCTTGGCACACTGGTCAATGGTCACTGGTGGCCACTGGTCACGCTTGGCTCTGGGGCTCTCCACTTGGGATTAGCCACACTGAGCTGTGCTGTGAGCATGAAATGCACACCAGACACTGAAGATGGTATGCAACCAGCCGTGAAACCTCCCACTCACATGTGCCCCTGGAGTATCTGTGGAAATGACAGGTTTTTTAATATAGCAAGCTAAATAGGCAAAGGGTCTTCAAAGACTTTCTGTAATGTGTGTATAATGAAAACACCACATATAGGCCCGGCACAGTAACTCAACTGGCTAACCCTCCCTCTTCAGACACAGGGATCCCATATGGGTACCAGTTCATATCCTCATTGCTCCACTTCCCATCCAGCTAGCTCACTAACTAGAAGACCAGAAGCTCTTGGCTTTGGATCAGCTCAGCTCCAGCTGTTATTGCCATTTGAGATGTAAATCAGCAAACGGAAGATCTTTCTGTCTCTCCTTTTTTCCATAAAATCTGCCTTTTCAATAAAAGTAGATAAATTAAAAAAAAAAAAACCACTGTTCATGAATTTCAAACACTTTTGCTTCCATGCTTAATTTGAGAGGCTCACAAAGAGCAACACTGCCCAAATGCCCTCCAGCACCTTAGCCTGAGTTGAAGCTGGGAACTGGGAACTCAGTTCATGTCGCCATGCAGGGCTGGCAACTGATTACCTGAGCCAACACTGCTACCTGCAGGGCGTGCATCAGCAGGAAGTAGGAGTCAGGAGCCAAAGACTGGTACTGAAGCAGACATGGCATTGGATGTGGGCCTCTCGGCTGGCATCTTCACTGCTAGGCCAAAGGAAAGGGAACCCCACTGAGTTTCTTTTCATTTCAGTTTTCTGTAAGCTCTCTGTAGTGCTTCTGCAAGTGGAGTCATTTTGTACTGCCTGAGATCCAAAGAGCCTTGACTAAGCACCTGCCTCTCTCATGGAAGAGAAGGCCTGGCCAGCTCCTGACCAGCCCAGGTAGTGGACAGATAGTACTGCTGAGCTGGAAGTGTCACCTGAACTGCCCAGGCTTACAGCAGGTGGAGGTGCTGGGCTGACCCCTGGTACTTTGACTCCAAACCCGGTGGCCTACATGACTGTCTACCCACCTGTCCTCCTGCTCCTCTCTCACACAGCCAAGGCTGATGTCAGATGTCTTCTTAGAAGGGCTTCTAGGGAACCCACTGCCTACTCCTTTCCCCTACTCCTACCTTGGGCTCTTAGAATCTCTGCATGGAGGTGTGGCAGCCACTTTGTTACCATGAGGGCAAAGTAGGGTCCCAATCCTGCATTCTGGTCTCAACTCTAGCAGCTTGGCCAGCCCTGCCTCTCTGGCCTTGGACTTGACTGCTCATTACTCAGCCCTATTTACTTAGGACATTATTTGTCATTGTAACAGATTCTCACTTGTGCTCTCTTGGAACTCTGCTCATGGATGGTTTTCTGGTAAGATGTGAAGGGTTCAGAGGGTTTCCAATCTCCAGCATTATGGCCCAGGGGTCAGTCTTCTCCCTGGACTGTCAGGGCAGAGGGCAGGGCAATAGGGTCCTGGGTTGGGGAGCTCTAGGCTTCCTTCATCAGGGAGGATGAGTGGAAGCCGGAAACCACTGGAGCTTTCTTCTCACTTCCCTGATGACGAACCTGAACTTTGTCTAATAGGCTGCTCCGACTGAAGGTAAAGGACGTTCTAGCAACAGGGACTTGATGGAATAAGGGTTTGTTTTACTCACAAATCAAATATTTGTGGTCCCTGGATTTCCCACAGCCAATTACAGTCAAAGCATGGATATCAACCAGAAAGAGATTTTTTCCTGGTATTTTTCCCTATGTTATTGCAAAATGGTTGCCACAGTACCACATATCACATTTTGCTTCATGGCAAGCAAAGCTGAAAAGAAGGGAGGGGCTAAGAAGACAAAGGGGATAGAGAATTCACAAAGGACATCTTCCTAAGAGGGATCTCGGTGGAGGCCCATTCTCCCTCTCTGTCCAGGAAGTGATATACTACCCATGGTTGCAGAGGAGGCTGGCCTGGTAAGTACCTACCCAAGGGTGGGGTTGCTGCCACAACTGTTCACAGTCATTGTCCCTGGCTAGCTACACTGCCACCAACCACAACAAGGTTGTGCTGGCTGAGAGACTGCCTGCTGGGAGGGTGACTGTTGTGACACTGGCTTGTCTAAGGTCAGGGAGCAATGAGCAGGCAGGAATGAGCTATGACACCTTCTCCACCAATCCCTGCATCCTGCTGCGGCAGGTGCTCCTGGGGCCTCTGCAGGAGCATACCAGGCCTGAGCTATCTGGGCAGCCTACAAGGGATCTGGCTTTCCTGTTCCCCCTGACACTGTTTGGCTAGCAGCAGGTGAGTGATGTGGTTCTAGTAGGTGACAGATGACAGAAAAGCTGCTAGCAAGATTCTGAGAAAGATTAGCTCACTAGTAAACATACATATCCAACCAGGAAGAGGTAGTCTCCTCAACTGTATGCTGCTGTGCAGCTGTGGCAACCATCCCGTTAATCATGAGCACAGTTGGCCTGAGAAGTGCGCCTGTCCACAGAGACGGGCAGCATGGAAAGCAGACAAAGCTTACTGTTCTCTTGGCAGCACCCAGCTAACAGATCTGGATGCTCCCATCTCGGGGTTGCTTGGTAGAACAAACATATCTCCATGATCACTGAAGCCCTTTTGAGTTTTGCTTCCTAATTTTTGCAGCTGGAGGTATTCCCACCAAATCATGCATTTTCCTCTGCCTAGGTTCCTGGCACAGGGGCAGGTGCAGGCCAGTACTGGGCAGCTGCCGACTGTGAGCCCAAGCTCAGCCTTTGTGTGGCTGGCTGCTCATCACACAGCCACACAGCTCCTCCTTGAAAACTCCAGGCAGTAGGGAGGCATGCTTTGCAGAGCAGGTGCCAAGGGGGTTGCCATTCCCCACTGGCATTGTACCCTCTACTGTGGTGCTGCCCAGGCCAGCTTCACTTACAGCGCTCCTGGAGACAATGGCAGCCACCCACCAGCTGCACAGGGGCTGGGCAGAGCAGAGAGGCTGGTGGCTAAGTGCTGGAAAGCACCCTGGTCTTGGGCCTAGGCCAGAAAGGGTTTTTGTTGAGGGCATGTGACTGCTCTCTCCCACAGCTCAGTGCCTGGCGTAGGCTGAACGCCGGCCAGTTAAGTACTCCGCTGGCAACCTGATTATATAGATTTGCTTCTGCAGGAGCTTGGGACCCCAAGAGAGCCCTCACTCTCCCCAGTCATTTGTGTTGGAAACACTGATTCCTCCAGCCTCCTTGCTCTTTGGCGAGGAGAAGGGTCTAGAATAGAAGCACTTCTGGAGGATTTTCTAAGAGGAAATGCTCCCCCAGACTCCCTCCCACCAGCTACATGTGGAGTCTGCCCACCACAGGCCCTGGCATGCCACCTGCCTGCTCTGAGGTCCTTGCAGTCTTGGATTGTTACACAGGCACTGTGCAGCCTAGGAACTTGACTTCTTCTTGTCTAGCTTCATTTTTGGAGATGCCAAGGTCATGTTGCTCAGTTTTGCTTGTGCCATTTCCAGCACTGGGAGCCCCTTCCTAGCTGTGGCTGGTTGTGTGTGCGCTATGGGTTGCACGGTGATTTTTTGGGCCAAAGAGACTTGGCATATTATCCTGTACATTGTTACTATCATAAAATGCCTAAGGCAGGCTATTTAGAGAGAGGTCACTTTGACCTGTGACTCTGGAGCTGCATAGAGTAGGGACCACATCTGGTCCCAGCCTTCTTGCTAGCAGAGACACAAGGGGGCGCAGAACAATACCTGGTGAGTTCACCTCACTTGTCTGTATGTTTGTCTCACTCCATCTAGAAAATCCATCCAGGATTCATTCATGCTGTACCCCAAACATCAGAGAAGGATGGCGTTTCTACTGTCTTAATTCCATTATTTTAGGACTTTGGGTATTAACTGCTTACACGAGTAGAAAACCATATCCGAGCCATGGCAGTCAGCCCTGGGGCTTTTATGGAACCCTCTGGAAAACATACACCTTTGATCTGTAAGCTGGAGAACATTCATCTGCCATTTCTGGGAGCCATCTATACCATTTCAAGAGGTCAGCTGCGGAATGCAACCTACACCAAGGAGAGCAGGTGGGAAAGGGATCAAGGGACATCCAGATAACCTACCCCTGGGCTTGTCAGTCACTAGAGTCAATATATTCACTTGAGTCAATACATTTCCTGTTTTTTTTTTTTAAGAGAAACAATTTGAGTTGGGCTTTCTGGTACTCACAATTGACAGCCAGTATAGAGATAAAAGCAGATTTTCTTATCAATCTGAGTCTCCCTTCTTATTGATCCCTCCAAGGCTACCCCGCCCTACTTCATTAGATATCAATACTCTTGGATTTTGCCTCATTTTCATCATAATTATCCTGTTTTCAAAACGTCTTTGACATTTATTCCTTCTTGTTTTGCATCTCCCGTTGGAAGGCTAAATCTGCCTAACGGAGCATGATCCAACTTGAAGTCGACACCATCCTTCTTCAAGCCATCAACTCATTAGCTTTTCATACTGTCTGTGGTCCTCGTGGTACCCCCAGAAACCCAGTATTACAAAAGGACTTCAGATTCCCTCACTCACCCTGCCCAGCCTCTCAGTTCAAGTTTTTGTCTACAAGGCTGCCAATATTAGCCAAATTCTGAGACGGTGACTTGGGTGTTACCTGTTGGTGATTTCCCAGTATCAATTTTCCCATGGTCCAGGCACCAGCAGCCACATTCCATTCCTGTTTTCTCAGCTGTGGCTTGCTACAATGATGAACAACTTTATGGAAGGTTTTGGAATAGTGGAAGAGATCTGTAACACAGAGAACAATTAATGGCTATTTCTAAAGGAGCTGTGCTCAGAGTCCTGAGGGAAAAGGTTAGGGAAGAGATGCATGTCTCTGAAATGGAGCCTTGAGTACACCACTTGTATTAGCCAGGGGCTGTCTTAGGAAACAGAGCCAGGATGAATAGATGGGTGGGTAGATGGATGGATGGATGGATGCACAGGGAGGGAAATAAATGACAGGCTCATGTAGGTATGGAGGCTGAAAAGTTCTGTATGAATCATTCTGTAGACTGGAGAACCGTGGAAGCCAGTGGCATAGCACAGTCCAAGTCCAAAGATCTGAGACCCTTGGAAGTTGCTGGAGAAAGTCCTCAGGTCTGGAGGCTGGAAAACCTGGTGTTCTCCAGGCAGAGGCTAGGTTTCAAATGTGTCTCCTAAGGGTTCATGTTTTGGAAGCTTGGTCTTCAGTGTGGTATTGCTAGGAAGTGGTGGGGCCTGAAGAGGTGAGGCACAATGGAAAGTCCTCAGAGGCACGGCTGATGGAAGGGACTCAGGTAGTTCTCAGGGGACCCTGAGTTCCAGCTTAAGAGGGGGCTGCTGTAAAATGGGTAAGCCTGCCCCCCCTGCTCTCTAGTCTCACCAGGATATGTCCCCCTCTTGTGTGTGCTCCCACTGTGACACCTGGGGAGCCTCGCCAGCATTGGTGCTGTGCTGTTCAGACACTCTGCCTCCAAAACTGTGCACTAAATAAACTTCCGTATAAACCACCCAGTCTTGGGTACTTCTTTATAGATAACAGAAAATGTCCCAGCTCTAGGTGAGAGTGAGGGAGGGAAGACAGATTGATAACCATTTTTGTGTGTGTTCTGTCTGAGCCCTCACTGATTGGCTGCTGCTTGCCCACATGAGTTGAGAAGTGGGTCTTCCTTACTTGGGCCACTGACTCAAATGCTGGATTCCTCTGGCTATACCCTTGAAAAACTACCTGGAAACAGTGTTTTGCCAGCCATTATGGTATCTTCATTCATTCAGCTGACATCGCCAATTAGCCATTTTATCTCCCTTTTCTTAACTTCCCTGGCAATTATCTCCAAGAGGGAATGAGACCTTCTGCCCAGTTTAATGCCAGGCCTGGTCCATCTTTGACATTGCACAGCAAGAAAGCTCACCACTGCATTCAGAGAGCATCTTCCCCAAGCCACCCAGAGGGCTTCTGTCCTTCTGAACCCAAGAAGCAGGTATGGGCATCTGGGCATTGTGGATCACACATTCAGATCTGAGGCACCCAACACTGAGGTTTCAGGATGTGTGGGGCCCTGTCCCATTGAGTTGCTGGTCCTTCCTGGGTGGGTTCACTCACAGCCAGTCTGCATGGCAGCAGTGAAAGTCTCACAGCTTTTGTAATTGCCAGTAAAAGACCTACCAAGTCCTCGGAACAGTAGGTAAGATCCAACAGCAATACCAAACACCCCACCAAACACGTTTCTTCTCAAGAACCCCGCATCCAAGGGCAGGACTTTGCTGGGTGACCACACTGTCTCTGTGGTCACGATCTGGGCAACTTTCCGGGTGTTAATTCCGGGCTGCCCAGCAAGGAGGCAACTCACATGGCAAAGAAGGCCTCCCACGCTAAAGCAAGGTGCGATGCAAACACCAGAACTTGAAGTGAACGGACACAGATACACAGCGTGCACTAATAGGAAACAGCACAAAGCAGGGAGACATCCGGAAAAGGCAGTCACAGCAGGGGTGGTGTGTCGGAAGGAAGGGAGCTCTGTGAACCAGCTTCTGCTATCTCTGGCGCAGCCTGGCTCATAAATACATACCTTTGCTCCGGTTCTGAAACTATAGAATCTTCCAGCATGTCAGGCGGGCTCACGACATGGGTGGCAGTGCAGGAACAAAGCACCTTCCTTTATTCTGTGTCAATGCCTACCCCTTTCCAGCCTCCTGCTGTGTTCCGAGGGAACAACCCAAAGATGAATGAATCGGTAAGGTCTCTGTTCACAAAGAGCTCAGGGCCGAGCGATATTAATGAATCCTAAGAATCAAATGGAGTCCCGGGCCCAGCTGAAACCCAAGCCCTGGTGCATTTAGCAGGCGCTGACTTGGTGTTCTAATTAACAGCAACAAAATGACACTGGAAGCGCTGGCTGTTTTTTCACGACCTCAATCTGGCTCTAGGGGGTCTTCTCTTATTTTTTCCAAGCAGTCCCAGCTCAGTGTTTTCCTACGGCCTGAAGCTCTAGCTTAGTGGCATGACTATGTGACCACCCTAGCAACCGCTTTCCCACCATGGACGACCACTTGGTGCGGCACACATGGCCTCGTCCACCCCGAGATTACGTGGCTGTGGGGCACGCGGCGGCACGACAACGTGCAGCGTGGGGCGGGGCTTTGGTGCCAGCGCACATTCCCATTGGCTCTTAGCTGCTTTAGGGGTATGGACGTGCTGACGCTGCCCGCCCCCTGGCTTCCGGCTACGCCATTAGGCCACCGCTGTGGCAGGTATCCGCTGTGTCTGTGTGAAGTGAGACCCCCGGGTTGGCTCCCGAAGCACGCCAGGTCTGGACAGGCTTGAGCTGCCCGGGGTCCACGCCGGGTTCTGCTAGGCCTCGGGCTGCCCGGGGTCCACGCCGGATCCGGCCAGGCCTCCACCTCAGGCTGCCCGGGGTCCACGCCGGGTCTGGCCAGACCTCGGGCTGTTCCGGGGGTCTTGTTTGGAGGTCCGGGCGGGCCTTTCAGGGACTTCCGAGGATAGGATGGGAGGAAGTGTCGGTAGTGGGACCTGTCGTGCCCGGGAGACCCTTTGGGGGGCCTGCGAGTAGCTACGGAGAGCCCTATTTTGCATCGTCCTCGGCCTCCCGCCACGTCCACGTCCAGTGTTGCAACTTGGTCACCAGAGGGAGGCGCCGTCTGTTCGTTTTGGGGTTGCTCTGGGAATGTACCAGGGGTCAAGTGGTGGTGACGGGGACCCCCCCAAGACAGGGATTTGGGGGGTGAAGAGGTCATGTGCAACCTGGGTTTTAAAGGTTAAGTTTCTATATGGTTCTTTGTGCGGCAGGAGCGTTCCAGAGAGGGGAAGAGGTTTAGATTTTTTTTCCCAGTCATCAAGGGCTGCATTCTCCGCTGTGCACAGGGGCCGGACCCCCAAATATAATCTATGTGGGGGCAGACAGGAGGGCTCACACAGCGACAGCTCTGTGGGGTGGCTGCTCACAGATGCCAGGCCTTGAATCTTCTTTATAATAATAGCAGCTGGAATCTATTGTTGGTTTTTTTATGTAACATACTGTCTAGTTTTGAATGTTCATTTTTAATTCATAAAGTTCTAGCACATTGTCTAGCCGAAGAATGATTATTTACATTATATAATCTATGTATCTACATATAGATATATATCTGGCCCTAGGGATGCCAGCTTGTAGTCTGTGCTGTGGATGATCTGGGCTGAGGACCTACAGACCCACAGTGGTCCCTGTTTGGGGGATTCAAGTGCTAGAAAGATCTGTGCCTGAGCTGATTGGGTTGTGAAGGCTGAATAGTTGACTTAATCAGTAGAGGGAGAAGGCACTGTTTTTACAGGGTCCCTTTGGGAGAAACGCAGATCTAGTGTAGCTAGATGTGAGGATCAGGGGCAGTCTGAGGCTGTAAGCAGGGCAATCCTCAGCTGGCATCTTGGCTTGGGGCCTCCCTGTGCCAGGTGTGTGAGGTGTGAGTGGGGGGAGTGGGAATAGTCCCTCAGGGCCAAGGTACAACAATAAGATTGATCTTTTTGTTCCTCCGTCTCATTGCTCTAAACTGTATTCCGTGAGGAGAAGCAGAGAGAACCTGAGGAATTCTTTTGATTCTATGTTTTATTAACATGTAATGCTTGTACATTCTTACGGGGTACAGGGCAGCATGTCCACAGATGGACCATGCAAAGCAATCATGAGGTAACTGGCGTTTCTATTTCTGCGTCTTCGGCTTTGGAGCCTCCCAGCTCCTTTTCAGGCATCAGGCAGCGTAGAGTATGTTGTTGCCCTCCGTGCTGTGGAGCACTGGTGCTTGTTACTTCCAGCTGTGTGGCTGCCGTGTCCTGCCTCCTTTTATCCCCTTCCCCAATCCTTCCAGCCTCTACTAATTACTATTCTATGCTCAGACTGACTTTAGAAGAAAAACAACAACAAAAACTTCCACATATGAGAGAACATACAGCATTTGTCTGTGTCTGGCTTTTTTCTTTTTTCTTAACATAATGATCTCCGGTTTATCCATCTTGCTGCAAATGTCAGAATTTCATTAATTTTTATCACTGAAAAATACTGGTGTATACACTCTATTTCCTTTATGCATTATTCATTCCTCAGTAGACATCTAGGTTGATTCTGTATTTTAGAAACGTGAATGGTGAACATGACAGTGTAGGTATATCTTGCATGTGCTGACTTCATTTTCTTTGGAAATAAACCTGGGAAGGGGATAGTTGGGTCATGTACTAAAACTCTTTTTTTAGTTTTGTGAGGAAGCTACTCACTGTTCTCCACAATGGCTTCCTAATTTGCATTTCTACCAACTGTGAATCAAGGTTCTGCCTTCTCTTCACATCCTTACTGGCTTGTTTTTTTTTTTGGGGGGGGCGTGTAATAGCCATTCTGTTTGAAGTTAACATGATATCTCATTGTGGTTTTTATTCATTTGGAAGAGAGAGAGATTCCACCTGCTGGTTCACTCTCCAAATGTCCACAACAGCTGAGATGGGGTCAAACCAGAGCAGGGGAACCAGAACTCAGTTTCGGCCTCCTGCATGGGTGGCTGGGACTCAAGTACTTGAGCGTCACCTACCACCTCCCAGAGTGCACATTGCCAGAAGCCAGGAGTCAGGCACTGAGTGGGATCCAGGCACCCTGAGTGACATCCTAACAGCTGGATCACATGTCCACCCCTGTGTTTCTTCTCTTGAGAAACGTCTACTCAGATTGTTGGCTCATTCATGACTGGAGTTCTTTATATATCGTAGCTAGTAACCCTTGTCAGAGAAGTGGGTTGTAAGTACTTTCTCCTTTTCCATCAGGAGTGTCTTCACTCAGGTGACTTCCCTCTGCTGTGCAAAACCTTCTCAGTTTCATATAGTCTGCTTTGTCTAGTTTTGCTTTCGTTGTTTGTGCTTTAGGCTTTTGCCTTAGCTGTCACAGATCATGCTTATACCAACATCTAGAAATGTTGCTGCTTTGTTTTCTTCGAGTACTTCTGTAGTTTCAGGTTTTGATCTACTTTGGGTTGATTTCTTTGCATAGGGCAAGTGGCAGGGATCAAGTGTCTAACATCTACAGAAAGGTGTCCAGTTTGTCCACCACCATTTATTGAAGAGGCTGCTTTCTCCAGAGTATGTCTTTGGTGCTGAGTCTGAGGAATTCTGGGGAGGGCATTATAGTTAGTCGTTTAGCTTTTTGTGAATCTTTTTTCCATACAGACTGGACAGTTGGGTATGTAGAGATGGGTCAACTGCAGCACTTGCCCTCAAGATGCTTTCAGATGACATAGGGAGGAGGGCCTCACATGGCACTTTGCCCAGCAGAGTTGGGTTGGAGAATCCAAGGAGAGAGGAAGAACCTAGAAGGTATTCCAAAGGCCTCATGGACCTAAGAGTCAGAGGCAGGATTTGGTGGGTGACCAGGAGACAGCATTCCCAGGTTTGTGTGTGCATAGTGTGATGGGGATGAGGAAGTTGCAAATAATGAGGCTGGCCCACCAGCCCAGTTATCGGTGATGTGAGGAGCATGGCAGAGGGGTTTTGAGGGTGCAACTTTGAGGTTGGGGTACTCAGTGCTGCTTTATGGAAGACAGCTTTTTTTTGCTAGCTCAGGAGTATTGTGAGAGGGAGGGGCTGAGGAGATGCCAGCCAGGTGGGGCCTGCTGTAGGGAGAGCTGCATGATGGGGGTTTATGATGGAAAATCCTGTCTTGCCCAGACAAGGATTCCTTGTGATATGTCTGGGTAGCACTTATTCATGCTCTGACTGATCTGCCTCACCTCCCGGCGCTGTCCCATGTCCAGTGGCCAGCCTGTGTTCTTGAAATGACTAAATAGGTGAAGGAGTGTCTTCTGGTGGGCAGAGGAGGGACAGGAGAGCAGGTCCTGGCGACCTCTTGGCTGTGGACTCTGTCCTTGGTAGGCTCCTCCTTTCTGCCAGTCCTGCCTATACCCTCTCCCTTAGGGTGGAAAAGCACCAGGTCCCCAGGATGGCCCTGTTTGTGCTGGAAGGTAGCAGGTGGGTGTTGATGGCAGAACTGGTTCTCTTCCTGACTGGCTGAGGGAGCCCCTGAGGACTCTGATAGACCTTGTGGGGAGAGCTGGCTTCTTGCCTAGACTACCTGGCTATGGGACAGGACTCAGATCCAAGCTGAGCTCCCATTTCCAGTCTATGTTCTCTCTACCACAGCAGGCCTGGGGATGTCTGTCCTGGGGGTGAGGTTTGGGATTCACTTCAGGAACTCCTGGATTATGGCTCACACTGCTTATGCTTTTCTCTAGGTCAAGTTCCTGTGGAGAGAGGTAGAGCGAGAGAAAGAGGCACTAGAGTCCCAGATATCCATTCATGGATACCATGTTGGAAACTAGAGCTCCAATCCAGCAGAGGAGCAGCCACCATGGCCACGAGGTAGTATCCCTCTTCCATTCCATCGGCTGTGCCCCGCTTCTCTCTATCAAGGAAAGCCCCCTCTCCCTCTACCCTAGGCCCTCTGTCCCTCTACCAAGGCTCCTGATGCTTTTTCCTTTCCCTATTCCTGGTTCCAGGGCAGCCTGTGGTCATCAGGCTTTGGGATGAAGCTAGAGGCCGTTACCCCATTCCTGGGGAAGTACCGCCCCTTTGTGGGTCGCTGCTGCCAGACCTGTACACCTAAGAGCTGGGTAAGTGATGCCAGGGCCAAGGCCCACTGTGGGAAACTTGGGGTAGCTTGCTTTTGGGGGCCACAGCCCCTAGAAAGCTGCTCCTTTCGTGTCCTTCCAAGCTGGGTCCCTCCCCATTGCAGGCCTCTGCATTTGTCTTTTAGGGCTCTGGGTACACAGATGTTGGTTGTATTTGGAGTTGTGGCTCCCAGGTCCAGGAGAGTGGGATAGGGAATCTCAGAGGGGCCCAAGAGGAAGTGGGGCTGTGTCTAACCCTGCCTGCCTGCCTGGGTCCTGTTGAATGTGGGGATACCGACCACTCCAACTTTGCAGTGCTCAGTATGTGCCTGGAGACATCTCGGGGGTCCATGCTGTGTGCAGGTGTTGAGGGGGCCCAGTTTGGACTGACATCCAGGCTGTGCATCCCCTGTGGTTGATGGCAGAGGTCATTCCATACAAGTTGTGGCACTGAAATCTCTTGCAAAATGCTGGGTAGTGCTGTCGCCTGCTAGACTTGACAGACCTCTGGGCCTAGCCCAGGGTGCTAGGGCAGGGCCTCTCCTTTACCACTTCCCAAGGACCCTGAGGACATACTGTCCATGCATGTCTCCTGCAGGAGTCCCTCTTCCATAGAAGCATCATGGACCTGGGCTTCTGCAATGTGATCCTGGTGAAGGAGGAGAATACCAGGTAGTGGGGGCAGGGTGGGCCCTGCTTTGTGCTGCCCTGTGTCCTGCCACAAATCCACAGTCAGGAGAGGCAGATGATGGCTCTTTGCTTTGCAGCTCCTCCTGTGACATTGAGTGTCTGGTCCTCAGCTGAAGACCCTGCTCAGCACAGGGAGAGGTGGGGTGGGGTACAGAGGGGCAGGTGGCTCCTGCTCCCACTGCACACTAAGCCAAGCTCAGGTATTTCTGGGCTGTGGCTGTGGATATAATCCCTGCCTGATGGAACAGCCCCCATGGGCCCCAGTGGAGCTGGAGCTTCCCAAGCCAACTTCTCCCTGTTCTGTGGGCTATGCCTAGGTTTCGGGGCTGGCTGGTCCGGAGGCTCTGCTATTTCCTGTGGTCCTTGGAGCAGCATATTCCACCCTGCCAGGACGTCCCACAGAAGATTCTGGGAAGCACTGGGTGAGAATGCAGGGACCCAAGTCCAACAGGCATCGCAGGGGTCTATTAGGGAATGACGAAAGCTCTAGGTGGGTGGCCTGAGGAGCCTGGTGGGGCAAGGCTTCTGGAAATGTTGGCTTTGCCTAGCTCTTCTCAGAGGAGGGTGCAGGCTGGAGACAGTGCCCCAGATAACTTGGGCCACCCCAGCCTGACAGCGCTCCCCCTTCTTCCTGTATTGGTCACAGGGTACAGAGCCTGTTCTTGGGGAGGGCCCCCACAGGGGCTGGGGAAGGCCAGGTGCCCGACCTGGTGAAGAAAGATGTGCACCGTATCCTGGATCAGATCCAGGCCCCACCCCGCCCTTTCCTACTCAGGTAAAGCTGCTAAGGGGACATGATTTACCTTCTAGGCAGCCAGAGGGCATTTACTGGAACAGGCCTCAGCCCACTGTCATATCTGCTTCCTCTCCCCTCTAAGCTCCTGTTAGATGCAGGGTCCTGGCCAAGGGGACAGGATTGAACCGAGGTACCCACACCTGTAAAAAGGAAGAAGCAGGGGCCGAGACTGAGAATACCAGAGAAGAGAGAGGGAGTTGTAAGCCAGGGCCAAAAGGAGCCAATGTTGGAGGTAGAAGAATTGGTCGGGGGTAGGAAAGGAGGTGGAGGGGATGATTCTAGAGGGAGCAGCAGCCCAGGGCAGAAAAAGGGCAGGGTGTGCTCAGAAGCTGGCAAGTGAGGGAGGCAGCTGCTGGAAATGCATTTGAGAAGACCCACCAGCTTGTAGTGAATTTCTGAGGGAAAGGTTTCAGACATGGCTGATAACTTGACTGAGGTTGGAAGCAGAGCCCAGAGGGTCCCGTGCATGGCTGCTGGGCCAGGTGAACTGTGATGGTGCCAGAGTGGAGAAGGAGCACCTGCAGAGGCTGTGGTGACCATTGTCCTCACGGGGGGGTTAGATGGCAGGAGTGGGCGGTCAGGAAAAGAGGACTTGCAGGACAGCCCTATTTCTGACCTGTGGCTGGTAGCGCATATAGAGGCGCACAAGATGGAGAAATGAGTTTGGCTTCAGAAGGATGCTTTGACATAAAGTTTCAGTTCTTGCCATGCTGTGAGACAGTGAGAAGGCAGGTGCATGTATGAGTCAAACTCCTAAGAAAAGTGGGTCAGTGACAGACTTTGAAAAGTTTTAGCATACAAATGTGTGTGTGGGTTTGTGAAGGTTTGTTTATTTATTTATTTGATAGGCAGCATTACAGAGAGCGAGAGAGAGTTTTTCCATCTGCTGGCTTACTTTCCAAATGGCCACGATAGTCAGGGCTGGGCCAGGGTAAAGCCAGGGGCCAGGAGCTCCATCAGGGTCTCCCACATGTGTGCCAGGACCCAAGCACTTGAGGCATCGTGCTGCTTTCCCAGGTGCTTTAGCAGAGAGCTGGAAGTACAGCAGCCAGGACTTGAACTGGTACTCATAGGGTGCCACAGCATTGCAGGCAGAAGTCTCACCTGATGCGCCACCACACAAGCCCCCAACTGGTCTTTGTAACCAAGGAAAGGAGGGCTCAGGGCTACATGTATCAAGAACCACTGGGATATTTATTGAGAAAGGACAGAAAGTAGAGGTGGCGGTGACCTGGACCAACCTTCCTCGGTGGCAGATATTGATGCCTTCAGTCCCTTGACCTTGCTACATTTATACCAGCTAGCACCCCTTCTCCACTGACTCCCCCTTGCCTTGCAGAGGTTCCTGGGTTCATTGTGGTAAAAGGCCCTTGGGAAAGAGTGTGGGTATAGCATCCTGCTGCCTGCCCAGCCTGTGTACCTAAGCTGCCGAATGGTGCAGCAGCCATACCTATTGGCTGCGCAGCTCCCTTGTGAGGGCAGTCCTCCTGGGAACATATGACACCTGCCATGGCCTGCCCAGACTGCTATTTCACATGCTTTTCATGCTTTGTGGAGCTGTGGAAGCCATCATATGGGGAATTGCTGTTTGCATGTGCCCGTTTGTCCTTGGGTAGAGCTGCTCCCTCTGCCCCTTTGCAGCCCTCACTAGGACCTTTGTCCCTGTACCTCTTCCCTTCCCTTCTCGGATCACTGACCCTTCCCACTTCCTCTGTCTTCACCAGCAGTTTGTTTAGATGAGGCTGCATCCTGCCTAAGCAGTCTGGATTCTCTGATGGGCAATGGAGGTCTTGCCTTGCCAGGACCACTACTTCTCAGCCATCTCTACTGCCAAGCCGTCCCAGAGTCTGTCTGTGCCATTGGACAGTGACCATACCTCACAGCACAGTGTGGTACTGTGGGGCCATGGGTCATGCTGGCCACAGCTCAGACCCTGTGTCCTTCTGCAGGCTGTTCAGCTGGGTGCTGCTGTGGCTCCTGAACCGCCTCTTCCTGAATGTGCAGCTGCACAAGGGCCAGATGAAGATGGTCCACAAGGCAGCACAGGCGGTGAGGCTTCCCCCCTGGGGTAGGGATGGCGGCAGCAGAGACTGGGGCCAAGCTCTGAGTCCAACCAGCTCCGTCAGCTGCTGGGAAAAGCCACTACTCTCGGGTGACCCTGTCCCCGTGTCTCACGGCCCTGCTCCCACAGGGCTTCTGCTAACATCTTTTCATCATGGTCTTCACAGCCATGACGTCAGTGCATTACCTTAAAAGTTGTCGGAAGGCTGCTCTGCTTTATGGGAAATATGCTCAGAGAAAGAAGTCTTTCCTGAGCCCTCCCTCACCTCCTACACCATGCCATGCTGCTTTGGGGCTGGAGGCACTGGGGCTTGGCTTCTGGGAACTCAAGGCTGGAGGCAGGCTGGCATTTCCCTCTGGCTTTCCCTGGAGCAGGGCCCGCCACTCGTATTCCTCTCTACGCACAAGTCACTCCTGGATGGGCTCCTGCTGCCCTTCATTCTGCTCTCCCAGGGGCTGGGCGTGCTCCGTGTGGCGTGGGACCCCCGGACCTACTCCCCAACCCTTCGGTAAGAGCCCCATGCCCCCAGACAGCTGTGGAAAGGGCCCTTTCCCTGGCACCTCTGCTTCAGCAGAGTGGCAGATTTGCCTGGGGGGCTCACAGGAGCCACCTAGGGTCACCTGGCTGCAGGTATTCAGGCAAGATACAGGCTGGCCCTAGGTGGGATCGGGTTGTCATTTGCCTTGGCTCAGTCCCACCTCCAGAGTCCTCAATAGACTCTGCTCTGTACCCCACAGAGCTCTGCTGAAGAACCTTGGGGGGCTTTTCCTGCCCCCAGAGGCCAACCTGTCTCTGGACAGCTCTGAGGGGGTCCTGGCAAGAGTTGTGGTGCGTGCAGTAAGTACCCCTTGAGTTAGGCGTGGGGCCAGATTGAGGGTACAGGGTCTATTTTGGCTGTGGCCTTGATACCTACCCTCACTTCCTCCCATTCCAGGCCGTGGAGCAGCTGCTGGTCAGTGGGCAGCCCTTGCTCATCTTCCTGGAAGAGCCCCCTGGAATCCTGGGGCCACGACTGGCAGCCCTTGGCCAAGCCTGGCTTGGACTGGTCATGCAGGCTGTGCAGCTGGGCCTTGTCTCAGATGCCACACTGGTGCCAGTGGCCATCAGCTATGACCTGGTTCCAGATGTACCATGTGGCAGTGACCACGTGAGAGCCTTCTGCCCCCGGGACTCCGAATAGACACAGCTACAGACAGGAAACAGAATTGTGTGGCCGGCCAAGCCACCCTTAAGGCTCGGGTTGGAGTGTGTGTGTCTGTGCAAACATGTCTTCCTATGTTGCCATCATCCTCTCATTTCATTCTCGAAAGACCCTGTCAGGAAGGATGGCTCCTGGTTCATGGATGAGAAAACAGGAGCCTGCAGAGGGCAGAGCGTGTGTTAGGTTGGCCCTGAGATAAAGCTGAGCAGGCTGGTGGCAGAAGGTAGCTCTGGCAGGGGATGGTGCTGAGGCATAGGTGTAGCCCTCCCACTTTACCCTGCACCCTTATTCTCTTCTTCCCTGTAGGCCTCAGCCCCCCTGGGGCTGTGGACCGTGGCTCTGGCTGTCCTGCAGAGCCTGTGTAGCTGCTGGGGCAGCCGTGGCCGGGTCTGCGTCCGAGTACACCTGGCCCAGCCCTTCTCCCTGCAGGTGAGGAGCCAGCTGGGTAGAGCAGGGAGTGCCTGCGGGTCTGTGCTGGTAGCATGGCCCGCTAGGCCCTGCAGGGACAGCGTTGCCTGTCTTCGGTGGGCTTTGTGCAGAATTCCTGGTAGACCAGGACAAGCCATTTTCTTAGATGTACTTTAGATCTTCTTGTATTGGGCAGGAATACACCATCAATGCCAGAAGCTGCTGGAGCAGCAGGCAGACCCTGGAGCAGCTGCTGCAGCCCATTGTGCTGGGCCAATGGTAAGAGCAGGGGAGTGAGCAGGTCCTGGGACAAGGCAGGCAGCTCTTCAGCACCAGCTTGTGTAGAGGATCCTCTGTCTCTCCGCAACATGCCAGCATGCAGTGGGATTGTCTAGAACAAGGCCAGACCCTCGCCTTGCCTAGCTGTGGTGGCAGAAGTGATCCTGTATTCTGGAGCTGGGAGGGAGAGATACTACGACCTGGGGATAGCCTTAGCTTCCCCCGAGTGTTTCAGGTCTGGTTCCTCCTCTGATGTGTGTCTCTCCCAGCACTGTGGTCCCAGACACTGAGAAGGAGCAGGAGTGGACCCCGGTCACTGCACCTCTCCTGGCCCTCAAGGAAGAGGACCAGCACCTGGTCAGGAGACTGAGCCATCACATCCTGAATGGTGAGGCAGACGGACCTGGGTAGTGCTCATTCTCTCATTCTCAGCCAGGGCTTTCTGTTCTGAGTGAGCAACTGCACTCACACTCTCCCTGTGGGGCACACTTGGGACATCTGAAGAAGGGTGGAACGCACCCCCTGCCCCTAGGGCACACAGCTGGCTGCCTGGACAGAGTGGAAGCATCAGTGCAGAAGGAAGGTGCCTGCCTACAGCCACCCACCAGTCACAGGCACCCTCCTGAGCTCAGGTTTCCTTAGCCATGGTGGGGGCAAGGGGGATGGAATGGCATGAGGCATACAGCACAGGTCCTGCCCAGAGACTGCTCTGGCAGAACTTGGTGAATGTCTTCCCAGGTGCCCCTTTATGTTGTGGAGACTGGTCGGGGGGTGGGGGTGGAACTCTGCAAGATCTAGGGACAGTCCCTGAACTCCTGGCCTGACTTAGAATTGGTGTAGCAATATGCCTGTTCTCCCTGGGTGGAGCTGGAGCTGTGTGGCTGTTTAAACCTGGCCAGCTGATGTGACCGGTGTGGTCTTTCTGGCCCCAGCTGGCGTGGCAAGCTCTGCGGTGATGAGCACGGCCATCATGGCGACGCTGCTGCTCTTTAAGCACCAGAAGGTGAGGCACTGTGTATGTATGTGTGGTGGGGGGCTGGGGGAGCTGGGCAGGGGCATGGCGCCTGGCTCAGCCCTGCTCTGCCTGGTGTGATCCTGCCAGGGTGTGGTCCTGTCGCAGCTCCTGGGGGAGTTCTCCTGGCTCACAGAGGAAACGCTGCTGCGGGGCTTCGACGTGGGGTTCTCTGGGCAGTTGCGGTGCCTGGTGCAGCACACGCTGAGCCTGCTGCGGGCACATGTGGCCCTGCTGCGTGTCCACCAGGGGGACCTGCTGGTGGTACCCCGGCCCGGCCCAGGCCTCACACACTTGGCACGTCTGAGTGCCCAGCTACTGCCCGCCTTCCTGAGTGAGGCTGTGGGTGGTAAGTCCCCGGGGCCAGGGAAGGGCAGGGTGTGTGCAAGGAACCAAGGGGAATAGCTCCCCTTTCCCCCCCCCCCTCTCCCCTAGCCTGTGCTGTGCGGGGGCTGCTGGCAGGCAGGGTGCCACCAGAGGGGCCCTGGGAACTGCAAGGCATAGAGCTCCTGAGCCAGAAGGAGCTGTACCGCCAGATCCTGCTGCTGTTGCACCTGCTGCCACAAGACCTGCTGCTGCTGCAGGTCAGGCCTCTCCCCAAGCGGCCCTGAGACTGGGGCCCTCTGCCTTCCCTGCCCACTCCCACCCTGAGGCCCCTGCTGGTGGTGGGACAGGCTCTGTCCTGTCTTTGGCCAGCCCCTTCCTAGAGGATTGGCTCACTTAAGGCCGCATGGTTCTTTTCTCCCCAGCCCTGCCAGTCTTCCTACTGCTACTGCCAGGAGGTGCTGGACCGCCTGATCCAGTGTGGGCTCCTGGTTGCTGAGGAGGTAGACACAGAGCATCTGGCCTGTGTGTGCTGGGGCAGGGCGGGCTACAGGGGAGCAGCCCCTGCCTCGGGACAGGGAGAGCAGGGTTGTACCTGTAGCACTGTGCTCCAGGGCTGTGGTGTGCCTGGGGCAGGACAGGACCCCCGCACTTCTGCCACCCATTCCAAGCCTTGTAGCCCTTGAAGAGTGGGCGCTCCTTTCATGCAGCCCTCAGACTGGCCTGGTCTGGTGTGGACTAGCTTCCTTGTGGGCTCCCTAGATCAGTTTGACTACCTTCACTTCAACCATTTACATCTGGTTGGCGTTGGGCTAATCCCTGGACAACCTGTCAGGGACCAATAGCTCCAATGACCCCCAGACCCCAGGTTCCCGGCCAGCCTGTGACACAGGGCGCCAGCGTTTGAGTGGCAAGCTGCTGTGGAGACCAAGTGGCGACTTTACAGACAGTGACAGTGATGACTTTGAGGAGGCTGAGGGCCGGTACTTCAGGGTATGCTGGGAGGACTTGCCAAGAGGAGCTTGGAGGGGGTGGTAGTGGGGGCTGCCCTCACCTGCCTGTCCTCCTGCAGCTGAGCCAGCAATCTCGCTGCCCCGACTTCTTCCTCTTCCTCTGCCGCCTGCTCAGCCCGCTGCTCAAAGTCTTTGCATTGGCTGCAGTCTTCCTGCACCAGGGCCAGCTGCCTGACACAGGTAAGAGCCTCCCTTCCCTGCAGGCCCTAGGGTCGGGCCTCTGCCCATGCCAGACCCTGGGTTGAGGCTTGGTCTTATCTCCCAGAGTCGGGCTACATGGCGCAGCTGTTTCAGTTCCTGCAGGCCACTGCCCAGGAAGAAGGGATCTTTGGTGAGTCCCAAGCATCTGGCCCTGGCTCCCATAGGTTAGCGGGTGGCTGCTGCCCCCTGTTGGGCAGTGGTGGTTCAGCCCCAGGAAGGAGAGCCGGAGGGGGACAGTCCTGGGTCCTCCCCCTGCTCTGTCCCTGGGTGGTTCCTCCTGTGTCCTGGGGCTTCCAGCCATCCCTTTCTTTAACACTCACTTTTGTCTTCTTTCCAGAATGTGTGGACCCTAGGCTCGCCATGAGTGCCATCTGGACTTTCAGAGACCTAGGGGTAAGGTGGACAGTGTCCCGTCATCCTATTCCCTAGGCTCCATCCCCAGATGGAGTTGCTCAGGGAAACCACAGGGCTGTTCTTGGTGACACCTTGTTAAGATGCAGGGAAATACCTGCTGTTTCCAAGTTGTGGTGGCAGGTGGCTGGGGACTGGATGATGTCCCTGTCTTTCTTGGTCTCAAACCACTGGTTCCTACTCCCAAGTGGGGTGAGTTTTGGATGGAGAGATTGGGCAGGGTTTGCACCCACACACTGAGACCTGAGGGGCCAGAATGTGGAATTCGTGGGGGACACGCTGGGTCCTTGTGAGTGCTCAGGCCATGTCTCCTACACAGGTGCTGCAACAGACACCTGGTCCCACAGGCCCCGTGCTCCACCTGGCCCCTACGTTTGAATGCCGAGACAATCAGGACAAGCTGGAACAGTTCATCCGGCAGTTCATCTGCAGTTAGACCTGGCAGGAGGCGAAAAGCCCACTGGCCTCTCAGCCCCGGGACACAGCCACTCCCTGAGCCAGGTGACAGAGGTGGCAGTGGCTGCAAACCCTTAGCTGGACTCTACAAAATCTTCACTGTTTGACCACCCCTTATCCCTTGCCGTCTCCATCCTTTGGTGTGATATACAGGGGGACTGGGCAAGTCCTCATCCCAAGCTGTCTTGTTGGCGTGCCTGTGTCGTTTGCTGCACCTGTTTCCCTGTCTTATCCACCAGCCCAGCCCTGAGACACAGCAGAAGCCCACAGCCACTCTGGTAGGACACATTTATTAAGGAGAGCTCCACCTTCCCCCTCTGCACCTAGAAGAACCACAGGGTGGCTGGCAGCAGTCCTCGGCTGGCACTGGGATTTCCCCTGTGTTCTGCTGGTTTGGGGTGGGAGTTGCCCTCTTGTCTGAAGGCCTGAACCTGCATGCCCCATCACACCACCTTGTTGACAATCACACCAAGTTCTTCAATCTCACACTGGACCTCGTCGCCTTTCTGTAAGAGTAGGCCACAAAGGTTTCAGGCTCAGTCCCGACTCACACATGGACTCACACAGGCCTCCATTGCTCACGTCTGCATTGAGCCCACCAGGCCTTCTGGGTCCCCTCCTTGCTGCCATTCCTCCTCTTAGCAAACCTACCTTGAGAAACACAGGCGGCTTCCTGAACATGCCAACACCAGGGGGCGTCCCAGTCAGGATGACATCTCCTGGGTAGAGAGTGACGAACCTGGGGCAAAGCAGAAGGGCCAGGTGAGACCAGGGACAGAGGGCCTGGCTGAGCCTGCAGGTGGGTGGCCAGGTAGGGTAGTGCTGGCTATGCAGGCACTGTACTCACTGGGAGACCCAGGCTATCAGCTCTTCCGTCTTGAACACCATCTGGTTGGTGTTGCTGCTCTGCATCACCTCTCCATTGACCCGGCAGGAGATCTTTAAGTTGTGTGGATCTGAAATGTAAGAGCTTAGATATTCCCCTTCCCTGCCTCCAGCTTGCCCCCACTTTCAGGCAGGCTGTGTGACCTGTGAGGTCCAAGGGCTTCGTATCTCTCTGTCCACCTTGGCTCTGTAATTGTCTGGGGAACCTTCTACAGACACTGGCTGGCCTCCTTAGGTATCCTAACACCTGCCCATAGTGAAGTAGAGAAGGACAGTCCAGACTGAAGAGCGAAGGAAGGTTAGTGTTTTTGCCTTACAAGGTGGACAGCAGTCCACAGCAGAAGCTGATAGAGCAGGAGAGTGACAGCAGGGCAGGGACAGCCGCTTGCCTGCAGGCAGGGGATGGCCTGCTCAGGACGCGCTCCTGACTCACCTGCACTTGGTACTTTGGGCGTCAGCGTTCGTGCTCTGCCCCCTTAGGTACAGCAGCCACAATGCCTGCCAGCTTTTCTGTGAGTGCTGACTGCACGGGGTCCTGGGAAGCCTGGTGCACTGGGTATCCCACTGTGGCTCTGCTCCACCCTCCTGGCCAGTGCCCTGCTCCTGGCCCTTGCGTTCCTGGCTCTCACTGTGCTCTGGCTGTTACGTTCACACAGTCACAGGGCAAGGTCCTTCACAAGCTCTTGCATTCACCTACCGTGGAAGATGCATAGGCACTGAGGCAGCTCCTCTCCCTGGTGCTCCAGGGCCAGCTTTGCTGCCTTCTAACTCAGACTGTTCCAGATGCTGGCAGCTGGGAGGAGCCTGGTACATGCACGAGTGCAGTGCTGTTCTATGTAACCTCCTTCACCTCTGCAGTTGTGTCCCCTTGAGAGCCAAGCCTTGCCCTCCACAGAAGCAGTGTGGCAAGGGCCATGGAGAAGCTGGGCTCTGAATGTAGCTGAACTGCCACTCCTGATCCCTGGGGTGCAGCTCTGTCCTCACACAGCTCTCTGTGCGAGGACAGACACACATGGCGAGGACCTGGGACCTACCTGCCACACTGTCCTTGGTCACCAAGGCAGGGCCCAGGGGGCAGAAGGTGTCAAAGGTTTTCCCCAGCAGCCACTGCTTTCCATTGCGTTTTGTTTGCCAGTCTCGAGCGCTCACATCCTGAGCCACTGTGAAGCCGGCCACATGAGCCATAGCATCTGTGGCCTATAAGGGCACAGGGGATTGGGCTAGTTAGACCACAGGTGACACCAGGCTATAGTGGATGATAAAGTATATCACAGAAAAGGCAGGGGTAGTAGGCTAGGGCAAGGGCAGAGCTGTCAGGAAGCAGGTGGGCAGTGACCACTTCCCAGGGCCCGGGACAGCTGGTACCCCTGTGGTTGGGCAGTAGCAGGAGCCTCTGGTCTCAGAGCCCATCCACCTCACCTGGATGTGTTTGCCTTTCTTCCCAATGATCACAGCGAGCTCCACCTCCCAGTCTACCTCCTGTTGAGAGGGAGAGGGGCAGTGAGCTGCATAGGCCATTCCTGTGTGCAGAGAATATGCAGCAGGCCTCAGGGCCAGGCCTCTATACCTGCCAGGAAGCATGGCTCAGGGAATGGCCCGATGCAAAACATAGCACAGCCCCAAGCTTTGGGTGGTGGCAAGCATGCTGCTGGGGGAGGGCAGAGTCCCATACTGCAACCCCACGACCAACAAGGCTGGGAGATTTAGTTTCAAAATCACCCTTGATAGCTGTAACAGTCAACACCAAGCACTAACAGCCCCCAGCAATTACCCCTGCTGTGCAATCAGCTGTATTAGTGCTCAAATCAATGAACTCATTTTAGTGATAAAAGGTCAGTATCATAAGATTAAGAGTGGACAAAGGAATTGGATATGAAATTCACAAAAGAAATATACATGGCCTCAAACCATGACAAACGTTCTCTGCTAATCAGCAAAATAGGTACCCTTTGGCCTTCACACTGGCTGCTGTTTGTAATGGCAGTAACTACAACTGTAGAACACCTGACCTGTAGACGTTGGTCTAAGACAACCCCCACTGAGTGGTTTATTCCAGGTCCAAGATTCCTACAAGGTCATGGGCAGAAAGCAAGGAAGTGTTCAAGGGAGGGGGTGATGTTTGGAGCAGTGGTTAGGATACTGCTTGGGACACCCACACCTCAACGGAGTGGCTGGGTTTCATTACTGGCTCTGCTGATTTCAACATGGACCCTGGGAGAAGGCGGGTGATGGTCCAAGCACGTAGGTCCCTGCCATCCTCTGTGAAGACACCCCAAATGAACTCTGGTCTCCGGCTTTAGCTTGGTCCAGCTCCAACCATCATGGTATTTGAGGAGGGAAATCAGAGGCTAGCAGATCTCTGTCTCTGCTTTTCAAATGAATCACACAGAAGTGTAAGAAGGGCATGAAGTGAGAATAGGGAAGACAGCTTCTTCACAGGATGGCAGCTGGTCAGAGTATAACGCACAATAGAAAACTCCAACCCCTAGGGCAAGTCAGGCAAGGATGTCCACAGGCCCGCTGGATGAAGAGCTGTGACCCAGTGAGACAGTCACGTGTTCCTCAACCACCACCCACAGGCCACTCGTTACAAGGACGAAGACACACTGTGGAGAGGTCTAGAGAACAGCAACTAAACCCGCTGGCTCAGCTGTGACCATCTGACATGAGCCTCACCAATTACGCAGCACCTCCTGTGCCAGACTCCAGCCCCAGCCCCTCAACAGGGTGTAGGCTGAAACTAATCTCCATAAGGACACAATACAAATGCAGGGAACTTGGCTACATCCTGCAAAAGGTCAGCGCCCTGACCATGTTACAGGGCAGGCCGGCTGAGACCCCGTGGGCCACCCAAGTCTAGCTTACGGTCTGCTCCTCCTGTTCTTACTGATGCCAGAGGAAGAGAGAAAATCAATCACATCTGCTGGCTTATTCCCACAAGGACTGGAGTCAGGGGCCAGGAATTCCATCCAGGTTTCCCATGTGGGCGGCAGGCTCCCGAGTACATGGGCCATCATTACTGCTGAGGGTCCACGTTAGCAAGAGGCTGGAATCCGGAGTTGGGAATCAGACCCAGCTTGATGTAGAAGCCATTACCTCTGGGCCAAACACCTGCCCACCTCCGCCTGTCTGTGCAGTTTTCCAACTGGACCACTGCCATGTTCACTTACACATCACATCCTTGGTGGCTTTCACTCTGTGACAGCAGAGCTGCATGGTTGCCACACAGGCCATATGGCATCCAAAGCCCAGTGTGCATTCATTGGCCTTTTAAGAAACAGTAGAGCCCTCTTCTAGATTAAAATCACAGGAGACATAACCGAAATGTATGGCCTTGAAGAATGCTAGATCAACAAATAAGAACCAAATTAAAAGTCCCCTCTGCAGCTGGCGCTGTGGTATAGGAAGCTAAGCCTCCACCTGTATCCCATATGGGACTGCCTTGCATCTCAGTTGCTCCACTTCTAATCCAGCTGCTTGCTGATGGTCTGGGAAAGCAGAAGATGTCCCAAGTCCTTGAGCCCCTCTTGCACCCATGTGGGAGACCTAGAAGAATCTTCTGGCTTCAGATCAGATCAGCTCAGCTCTGGCCATTGGGACTATTTGGAAAATGAACCAGCAGGTGGAAGACTGACCTCTTGCTCCTTCTCGCTGTAACTCTGCCTTTGCAATAAAAATAAATCTTCAAAGAAAAAAAAGTTACCTTTGGACCAATGGTGAGTACTGCTGGTTAGGAATGGGCCATGGATTAAACATTATCTATGTTAATTTTCTTATTTGGGGTGGTGGTATGACTAGGCAGGCCACTGTCCTTATTAGAGATGCATGGTTAAGTTTTCATGAGTGAATTGTCTTAATATCTTCAACTTCCCATCAAAGGGACATATATATACATATACATATGTGTGTATATGTATAAAATACATACATATATGTATGTTCATGTGAGGAGAGAGGGAAATAAAAAGATATAGCAAGATAAATCAGGTGTTCATTCTACTGTTTTCAACTCTCCTAGTTTCCAAAACCTTTTCCTTTTTTTTTTTTTTCCAGACTTACTTATTTGGTAGTCACCATTCTACACCCCAGCAAGAGACAGGGTCTCCTGAAGGCTGCAGGCCGAGCTTGGGGTGCCCTCAGTGGCTGGGGAGGGCAGCAGACAGGCACCCACCTGGCTCTCGGGTGGGAGGACCACCTCATCGTAGGGCCCAACGATGGAGCTGCCAAACTTGCTGAAGATGATGGGCTCCTTGGGCACAGGCACGTTCTGTTCCTTGCAGTGATCCACGTAATTCAGGCCCACGCACACCACTTTGTCTGGCTTCGTCACGGGGGCCAGGAAGGTCACCTCTGACCGGGGCAAGACTGGCAACCGGGCAGCCAGGGCTCTGCAGAGAGCAACCAGGAGAGATGGGCCGGCTGGGGCAATCCTGAGGCAGCTACAAGTTTTGACATTTTTTATTGGAATGTATTTTCATTTTATTTGAAAGAGAGATCTTCTATCTACTCATTCATTTTTCAAATGCCCACAGTAACCAGGGTTGGGCCAGGCTGTGCCAGGAGCTCGATCCAGGTCTGCCATGTGGTTGGCAGGGGCCCAAAGACTTCAGCCGTCATCTGTTCCCTCCTGAGGTGCACGTTAGCAGGGAGCTGGATGGGAAGCAGGCTGCATTTGAACCAGTCCTTGGATAAAGGACACAGGCATGCCAACCAGCATCTTACCTGTTCTGCCAAACATCCATTTCAGGTTTGTTCTTTAAAATACAGAGTGGGGAACACTTCTTCTGCCAAGGGCCCTTTGGCTATTTACAACTTTATTCATGGGCCACATAAAATCAAACCTGAAAAAATGAGCCTGGTGTAGTTACTGAGTCCCTGCCCTGGCAGGGCCTCATGAAGTGACCCCCTGCCCCTCTCCTAGATCTGAACCCCGGATCAGATTCAGGGTCAGTGTGCCAATCAAGCCCTGTCACCGCCCTCTGCCAGCAAAGTACTATTCGTTATCTATCCAGTGCCCGTTTTCCTTACCCCATTAGGTACTTCAGGTCCCAGTCAGAGGGCTCAAAAGACACGTGGGACTACAAGGAGCGGGCTGTCGCCCCTTGGTGACTATCTCCTTCCTGGGTGCACACGACAGCACCTGGCTCCTACGTGGACCTTCTTTCTAACTGAACATTGCTCAGTATCTCTCCATGGAAGGCAGCTGCTAGCTTGTTCACAGCTCTTAACTATTGTTCACGTGACCATGTCCAGTTCCCTATGAGGGGCACGGAAGTTGTGTTTAATCTTGGGAACACAGTGTCACTGACTCCCAAAACTGATCAGGAAAAGTGGTTTTCATCTGCTGTTCACGCACGCTCCGACCAAATTCCACAGGGCTTCTGGCTTCAGGGCCACCTCCAGCTCCTGGCCCAAACGCAGGAGGTGTCCTGGGGAGAAGCTGACTGTAGGGCTCTTTCTAAAGAGCCACGGGTCTGGAAGATTCCTCCAGCTTCAAGCTGCCTTGAAGGACCCCTGGGTTGCCTTCTCTGCCTTCAGTTTCCCTCTGTGTAAATGGAGGATTTTGTTACATAAGTTTTCTAAGGTTCTTAACTAAAAGTACAAGTGAGAAAGGAAAGGTGAGGGGACCCTATTTCTTTGTGAAAGATTCTCCTGCTGGAAAGGTGAGGGCAACAGTTCCGGCTGTTTTACCTTCTGGCCACTGCAAAGGTGGCCTCTCCCTCCTCCAGGAACTGCAGCATCGTCTTGGGGAGCATGGGATCAAAGGCGTTGAGGTCGATGACCCCGCCGCCCTTCTCAGACTCCAGGCCCAGGCGCGGCTCCGCCAGGTGAGGAGCCTGAAACTGCACCAGTCTCATGTTCCTGGAAGGTTGCAGGGGCCACTTCCGAGCCTGTAGCAGAGCTGTGAGCAGCCTCCTTCCTCCGAACACCAGCATCAGCACCTTCGGGATAGGGGATGGGAGGCGGGGATAGGGGATGGGAGGCGGGGATAGGAGCGGGCAGTAGAACCTAGAGCAAAAAGGGATCCCCGAAGTTCCTTAGCTACAGCTCCGGCCCCTTGCCCCAGCAACCGAGAGTGTTCCCAACACAGAATCCTTCAAGCCACTGGCAACTTTTATGTGCCATACACAGTGAGAGCTAGGCCCAGGGCTTCCAGTATGCCTTCAATCCGTGTTTCTGGAAAATTCACCCTGTGCTGGCACACTGCAGGTGCTGGGGGACGTGGGGCATGGCAGCCTGCCTCAGGAAGGCCCATCTTGCTCTCACGGGAGACAGATGTCAACAACCTGGTGCCCTGACGCAGACAAAGTGGTGTGGGTTGAGCTGTCGCGGAGAGGCAGTGGTGGTTACAAGCATGGCGCCCAGCACGGGCAAGCAACCACTGCTAGAGTTAGTGTCCTGGCTGCCGACGGTCATTTTCTAGCACTAATTCGATCGTGCCACCTTCTTATTTAAAGTGGGTCTCTCAGTGTAGAGCTCTGGATCTTGGGCCCGGAAGACCCTCTTGATTCCCTGTTGAACAGGCAGCTGTGAGAAGCTAGGGCCTTGGCTTTTGTTACTTGGAAAAGCTTAATGACCGTCAGCGGGAGACAAGGTCGGTCACGCATTCCCACTTCACCTGGGAGTGCTTACAGGGTCAGGGTCCTGCTTCTGCTTCTTTTTTTTAGGCTCCTGTTTGCACTCCAGTGCTACTAAAGACAAACCTGTCTCATTCTGATCTTCAGTCTTACTCTTAAGCCTGACCTCCCCCTCTAAACCCCGCGGATTCTTCCCGGGGATAGCTCCTTTGAAACCAGAGGCTTCAAGGCATCATCCCTGCTGACTTACACAACCACCAACTGTGCCGTGGGCAAAGGCTGTTGGAGGCAAAGTGCACGTGTGACCTGGCACTCTGCCTACAATATCTGATTTAATTCTCTCAGCAACTGTGGAAGTCAGGGAGTGTATGCTCCGATAATAGATGAAAAAAAACTAGGATTTGATGAGGACACGGGATTTGCTCAAGGTCTCAGGATCACAGAGTTAGAAGGGGAAAGAGCCGGGATGTGAATCCTAGCCCGGGTGACACTGAAGTCCTTGGTTCAGTAGCCGGATGCTTCCCAAATCAGACAGTTCAGTTACAAGACACCCACCCTCTCCCGACCCCAAGGTTGTGGTGAGAAGCAGGCGCTTCTGCCTGGCACTACTATAAGCCTTGTAAAGCTGTGAGCCGCCAGGCGGCCACTGCCTTGGAGAACAGCCTGCTCACCTGCTCTCCAGGAAGACCACAACCTCACCCTGGCTCTGGCCCTTCCCACATGACAGGTACCCGCAGGTGCCTTCCATCCAAGGGGGTATTAGGGCTTAGAGGTGAAGGTCATCTGCCAAGGTCCCAGTTGGAAAATAGCACCTGTTTTTCTGCAGTAAGCCCTGGGCAGAATGGGGATCGGGCCAAACCGGCCAACGGATCCTTAAGCAAAAAGGCAGTGGCGACACGCGGTGGAGGCACAGCAAGTTGCAGCCTGGTAGGCCCTCAGTTTCTCTCTGTGTCCTGACTGGTCCCCTGCAATCAGAAGGGACCGCGCTGTCCTAGAAGGGGCCGCGCTGTCCTTGAGGCCACAAAAAGCTGGGGACTTACGTCCGGTCCTGCCTTCGGCGACACCCTCCCCTCCGAGCCCAGCCTCCCGTCTACCTGGCCTTGGCGGGCGGTGCTGCCAGGCGCCCTGCGCCGGAGGGCTAGCTCTCGCGAGCTGGAAGAGAGGGCGAGGGGCGCCTGGGCACCGGCAGCCCTGACCGCTGGTGCCAGCCCGCCCCGCTGCACCTGCGCCTGCACCCGCAGCTCGGGGCCGCGACTCCTCGGATCAGGCGGGCACCGCGGGCGCGCCCGGCGACGTCACGGAGCCATGGCCACTAGGCCGCCTTTTTCGGTCCCGGAAGAGACCTCCCTGAGGGCGGGCCCAGGCAGGCAGGTCCTCCGGAGCGTTCCTTCCGGCCTCGAGGCTGACGCCCAGCGCCTGAGGAGCAGTTTCCCCAGAGACACTCGGGCTCGGGGCTCACCCGGATTTGAAAGAAAGCCTGTTGGGAATGCAGCGTCCCTGCCCGGGCCCTGCTTCAGGGCCAGGCCAGCGGTGACATCCAGTGTTCTTGTCTTCTGATCTTGACAGATCGTTGAGAAGGGGAAGGGCGATTGCGCCTGTTCCACTTACCGGGGATCCGAGACCAAAAGGGCTTTGCCCCAGGATGGCATAGGCAGCCTGCTGTAAAGCAGGCGTATCACGGCTCCCCAGGCTTGTGGCACGTGAAGGCGTAGCAGGGGCGCTGGGCAGGAGGCCCTCACATTATTCAACTACCCGTCTTATTTACTACTTGTCTTGCAGTTTGGCTCTGATCTAAGTGCGTGGAAGACATTTCCTACATCGGTTAAAGGGGCAGCACGCGACGCCTGCATCCCATTTCGGAGTGCCTGGGGCTTGGGTCCCCCATTCGGCTGCGCAGGCAGCAAGTGCTGACTCAGGTCGTTGGGTCCCTGCCACCCAGTTTGGAGACAGCTGCAGTGATGGGAGCCGACTTCCAGCATTGCCGGCCTTTAGGGAATGAAACAGAAAATGGAGACATCTCTCTTGCTTCCTCCCTCCTTCCCTCTCCTCCACCGCCCTCTTCAAACAAGTAAACCTAAGGGAGACCATGGCCAGATAGTTGTTGAAAATGCTCTGGCTCTGGCCACGCCTCCAAGGCGGGAGGGTGGGTAAGGGCACAGCCAGGGGAGCAGGGTGGTGGAGGGTGGCAGACGGTGAGAGGGCAGTTGTGGGCAGGGTGAGGGGAGGAGAGGCTGCAGTGATGACAGGAAGTGGACAGGTCCCTGGGTAGCTAGCATAACCATTCATGGGGTCTGTGCCCCAGCGGGGGGGTTGGGGGCAGGTCTGGGGGGAGGAGGATGAGCCCCATTTTTGATGCATGCCATGTGCCTGTGGGACAAAGAGTATTTCCAGATGGGCAGTTGGAGACGTGGGTCTGGAACTTGGGGCTCACATGGTTTGAAGGAGGAGGTCATATTAGAATGGAAATGGGACCCACAGGGATGACTGGGATGAGGGGGGATGTGCTGGAGAAAATGTGGTACAAACTGATTACCAAGCCATGGGTCCCAAATGCAAGCTACAGACTGGCAGAAAACGTTTAGAACACATATACCTGTTAGGAAAATATGTGTGCTGGGTGGTGGTATAATAGGCCAATCCTAAGCCTGTGGCGCCAGCATCCCAAATGGGCCCAGTTTGTGTGTCAGCTTCTCCAGTTCTGACCCTGCTCCTTGCTTGTGGCCTGAAAAAGCAACAAGATGGCCCAAGTCCTCAGGCCCTGCACTCATGTGGGAGACACAGAGGAGACTCCTGGCTTCAAATGTTGTGGCCATTTGGGAGTGAAGCAGAGATTGGAAAATCCCTGTCTCCTTCTCTCTCTGTAAATTTACCTTTCAAATATAAATAAATATTTACAAAAGAAAACATGCATGCCAATACCTGAGGGGTCTTAAAAAGTTCATAGGAGGGACCAGCGAGATATCCTAGCAGCTAAAGTCCTCACCTTGAATGAGCCGGGATTCCATATGGGCGCTGGTTTTAACCCCAGCCACCCCACTTCCCATCTAGCTCCCTGCTTGTGGCCTGGGAAAGCAGTCAAGGATGGCCCAGAGCCGAGGGACCCTGCACCCATATGGGAGATCTGGAAGAAGCTCCTGGCTCCTGGCTTTGGATTGGCGTAGCTCTAGCCGTTGTGGCCACATGGGGAGTGAATCATCAGACAGAAGATCTTTCTCTCTGTTTCTTCTCCTCTCTCTATATCTGCTTTTCCAATAAAAATAAATAAATCCTTTTTTTTAAAGTTCAAAGGAAGTGCATAAAACATATCCTTTAATTCTATTTTCTACAGACTTTTTGAAGTTTCTTGAACAAAGAACTCTCAAAAGTCAATATATTAAAACCATCTAACTTTTCTAATGATTTAAAAACTTTGAACAGGTATTTCACCAAAGAGGATTTATGAATAGAAAATTAGCATATGAGGGCTTGGCATGATAGTGTAACAGCTAAAGTCCTCACCTTCAACGCCCCGGGGATCTTATATGGGCACCGGTTCTAATCCCAGCAGCTCTACTTCCCATCCAGCTCCCTGCTTGTTGCCTGAGAAAGCAATCAAGGATAGTCCAAAACTTTGGGACCCTGCACCCGTGTGGGAGATCTGGAAGAAGCTCCTGGTTCCTGGCTTTGGATAGGCACAGCACCAGCCATTGTGGTCACTTGGGGAGTGAATCATCGGACGGAAGATCTTCCTCTCTGTTTCTTCTCCTCTCTCTATATCTGCTTTTCCAATAAAAATAAATAAATCTTTTTTTAAAAAAAAAAAAAAAGAAAATTAGGAAATGAAAGAATGCTTAGTCATTAAGGAAATGTAGATTATAGCCAAGTATGAAGCCACTGCCTACCTGGCATGGCCAGACAAACTGATTACACTAAGTACTGGCAAGAAGCAACTAGAACTCCACACTACTGGGCTTATCAATAGTGCACCCGTGTTGGAAAAGCATTTGGCAGCACTTTAAAATGCCTAAGCAGGGGTAGCCACTGTGGCACAGCAGGTCCTGTGTGTTGCACCAGTGTTCCATACTTGGCTGCTCTGCTTCTGATCCGGCTTCCTGGGAAAGCATCTGGCAAAGTGATGGAGGATGGTACAAGCGCTTGGGCCGCTACACTCATGTGGGAGCCCATGGCTCTTGGCATCAGACTGGCCCAGCTTGTAGCCATCTGGGATGGAAGATTCTCTCCCTCCATCCCATTTTTTGTAACTCTATCTTTCAAATAAGTAAATAAGTACATTAAAAAAAAAAAAGAAAGAAAGAGGTGGACAGCACAGTAGCCTAGAGGCTCAAGTCCTCATCTTGCATGCGCTGAAATCCCATATGGGCACCAGTTCATATCCTGGCTGCTCCACTTCTCATTCAGCTCCCTGTTTGTGGCCTGGGAAAACAGTGGAGGATGGCCCAATACCTTAGGATCCTGCATCATGTGGGAGACCCAGAGGAAGCTTCTGACTCCTGGCTTTGGATCATTTCAGCTCTGGCTGTTGTGGTCAACTGGTGAGTGAACTAGCAGATGGAAGATCTTTGTCTCTCCTCCTCTCTGTATATCTGCCTTTCCAATTAAAAAAAAAAAAACTGCTTAAAGCTGCATCTGTCACATGATGTAGCCATTTTACTCCTGGATCTTGAGTCTCAGTTCTGTGCTCCACAAAAGAGGGAAGGTTGAGAAGTCCCCCCAACCCTTGGTGTTCCAGAAAACAGCTTCCAGAAAGCACCACTCTTTCCCATGGGACTCGGGTAAGTTGCCCCCTGTTTTTACTCCTCTGTGATTGCTGGTAACAGACTGCTTTGGTTCAGAGCCTCTCCTCCTTCAGGGCTCTGCACTCTGGCTCTCCCACAGGCTCCGGGAAGGTGAGGAAAAGTTAGGGAGAGATACTTTCTCAGTGCCATTAGAGGGAGCCCCCAGTCCATGCTGCTCGCTCCACGAGTGTGCAGACATTGGCGTGGAAGCATTGCTGTAAGGACACCATCAGCAGCAGTGTGTCTTCCGCTCGCCATTCACTGGGAGGGAATCACTGAGGACTGCTGGGTATCAGATGCTACGTCTCGATGGCAGCTGTGTCAAGGAGATTGCATGCAGATGTTTCTAGGTACCCGTGGAAGCCAAGCAAGGGCATAACTGGGAGATTCAGGCAGCAGCTGCATGTGGGATGGTGGAGAGGCGAGTGTGGAGGGAAGGTCGCTTGGATGTGAAAGAAGCTAGAGATGGGAGAGAATGGGATAAGTGAAGCCTGAGTTCAGAAGGTTCTGGCGTTGGCAGGTTGGGGTCTCCCAAGGCCAGCCACCCTGGCTTGCAGACGGAGGCCTTCCTGCTGCCACTTCACCTGCTGTCCACCCCTGCCGCTGTGCACGCTTCTATCCCTCGTCTCCTCTTCCTGTAAGGACACGATCAGCTCGGACTGTGACACCCGCTCCCTCCTATAGCCTGACTGAATTATCCTTTTAAAGGCCCTGTCTCTAAATACAGTCACACGTCCAGGTCCTTGGAGGTGGAGTTTCAGCATAAGGATTTGAGGAGGGACACCTTCAGGATGTAACAGTGGGGAACCAAAACCAATACACTTTCTTCCTGGCTCCAGGAAGGGAGAGAGAACTCACAGCAGTCTGAACAGACCACGTCTACTAGAAGGGGGTGTTAACTGTAATGGGACTGGGAGTGAGAGATTGGCCACTAGGAAGTACAGAAAATTCTAGAGAATGCAGGCATACCTCAGGCTGACTGGCTACAGGTTGCCTTGCGACAGTCACAGCACAGGGAAATGTGGAGGACCACGCCAGCCTTCCGTGAGCCATGGGCTTCTGTGGGTAGAAGGTGTGGTGTTTACCGACTTCTAGAACAGACTCTTCCGCCCTCGAGATGTTGCCTGACAGCGTTTCGCCCACGTGGAGCTTCCTGCGGAAGTGGAGTTGATTGTTTTAAACCTGGACACCACTGAATGAATGACACTTATGGAATATTCTGAATCCTTCCTTGGCATTTTGACAGGGCTCCCATAGTCTTCACCAATAGACTTCGGCTCAAAAAAAAAACGACTCTTTTTGCTTACCTGCAGGCAGCAACTCCTCATCCTCAGAAGGTTTGCCGAGGGATCTCAGCTGTTAGCTCGTGCCTTCCAGCCCCATGTCTGCCCCTGGCCGTCTTCCTGTCCTTGAACCCCTCAGCGTCATCCATGCAGGTTGGAACCAACTTGTTCAGAACTCCAGTTCACGGTCTCCTCCCATAAGCCATGATCT